CTTCACGAGAGACTGGATGCTACAGGGAAAGATCGCGACAGTCTCGAACAACAAACTACACTGGAAGAAATGGACCACTCCAACAACGACAAGAGACGTAGCCCCGAGTGGGACAAACTGAGGTTCCAGCCTCAGGAGGATAGACATCTCTCCCGGCTTTCTTGTGCGGTATGACCAATTAGACAGAACCAGCCGGGTGTCTGGGAGGAAAGCAAGGGTAGGGCAAGCTGACAGTCAATCCTCCTATACAAGAGTAATCAATGCTGGTCAGGGAACCTTCGGCCGGACGGAAGGAAGCGTGAGTGTGTACTATGATGTATTCAGTTTTGACTTGCCGGGGGAATAGGAACCGGACTGACGCTCCCCAGAATGGACATGGAGCCAGGACCATAAGGACCTGTTTTACCAAAAAAAAAAATTTGAAGGCTGGGTGCCAGAATGCCAGATGGCGCCACGTATCGAAATCCAAAAGTGCCAAAAGAGGAATTTGAGAACGGGCACCAACTGCAGAGGGTGCCAACAGTCAGGGGCCTGAGAACAGAGACCCAAACATGAAATAGCAGCCTGGTGGGTGGTAATCCGCGGACCATGGATCGAGCCCTGGCTGAGTCCGTAACACTGCAGCAACTTCTCACGAAGCCCTATTTCTGCTCTAACAGGCCTCTATGCAGGCCATGACATTTCGGAAGCCCGCCTTCACTCAGGGTGGGTGCGGCCTTTCAGAAGAATTGCTGAGGGGCTCAATCCTCACATCTACAAAACAATAAAAAAAAATTGCAGAGTTTACCGTGTACACTATATTATCAATGTCTTCACTTCAACTTCAATGAGCGCTTTGATGTTGCCCAATGCTGTCATATGGCTGAAGGTGAGTTACCATTGTCCCAGTGCACAAATCATAATGACGGTGATGATGGGGTTACTAAAACGCATGGCTAGATCGGATGCATGTAGTCGACAATGTGCAGGCAACACTTGGCCTCCAAATCTAATCCGAGCCAGGCACTTTCCTTATAGCTGAAAGCAGTATTCCTCAACATCTATTCGATCTCACCCACCTTTGGATTGCCAACCTAGTGGCCAGGGTGCAAGGCTACAAGCTTGTCTCCGACATTGAGCTAAAGTTCAGTTATCGCTAGGTCAAGGAGGATCCACAGACCCGCATGATATGGAATTCTGAACGAGCTATGAGGACTACAAGTTTAATGTCGGGACATGTGGGTTCACCAATGCACCTGTGACCTGCCAGCAGGCCATTCATGACTTACTTGCATAAAGACTATTTGGATCACTTTCTATGGGATGATATGCTTGGTGAAAGGGCGCAACACACCACTGCAACAATGTGGTGAGTCCCTAGCCGATTTTGTCAAAATAAATGTAGCAGCACTGCCTTCATTTCTGCCTCTGCCAATCCGA